TGTATTTTGGGCTTCCATTGTCATCCATAGCCTTTTGCAAACCAGAATTTTACAATTTAAACTCATACCATTCCTTCTTTTGGATTTGGATTAGATCTTTTCCACTCCTTAGATCACAGATGTTGGTATGCTTCTTCCATGTGGGCTTAATTGACATCTCACTTAGATGGCTGCTTGTTTGAGAATAAGCCTTTAAGACTATTTCAGTGGTTCTCAGCCTTAATGCTGCAACCCTTTAATACAGTTCCTCATGTTGTGGTGACCCCCAACCATAAAATTATTTTCGTTGCTACTTCATAACTGTAAGTTTGCTACCGTTATGAATCATAATATAAATATATGATATGCAGGATGTATTAGGCAACTCCTGTGACAGGGTCATTCAACTCCCTGAGGGGTCGCGACCCACAAGTTGAGAACTGCTGCCCTAATTACTCTTTCTGATAACCAGGCAGCATCCAATTTCTTCATTACACTTCCTATAGCACCCATATCTTCTGTTTCCTTCATAAGGGTGGATATTGAGCAGGGCCATGTTGTTTTTCTCCTAGGCAGTCTTCATGTGGTTCGGCATCTCTCATTCTCCATCTCTGCTTGCTTCATTTGTTAGTTTATATTTTGTAAGCTGGCTCAAGACATAGCGTAATCTAACCCTGTCTCATTAACATAACGAAGGCAACTTCTTCCCATATGGAATTATAATCACAGGTATATTTGGGGAGCACACAGTTCAATTCATAGTAGTTTTTTCCATCTACAAAAATAGGTGATTGTTCAAGTCCTCTATAGCCATATGGTTCCACTTCATGCATAAATTGTACTCACTGAATAGGTAGTCTCGAACAGAGGAAGAAAGCCATGATAACAAAGGGAGAGGACTTGAACACTTACACCAAAGCAAACCCACTGCCATAGAGTGAATTCTTACAGTGACCCTTTAGGACAGAATAGAAATGCTATATAGGGTTTCCTAGGCTGTAAGTCTTAATGGGAGCAAATAGCTTCATTTTTCTCCTGTGGAGTGGTTTTCTCCTGTGGTTTGAACTGCCAACCTTGAGATAAGCCACGTACAGCCTTCACCTACAACATCACTAGGGCTCCTTAAAGGGATGCTTACACTGTTTTAAAGAGTTTTCAAGTTAAAAATATGAATACATATGCGTAAAGACTGGCTCTGTTCTTGTGGTCTCTCTTTCTCTCCTTGCAATTTCTGGTCTCAGGCTAAGAAATTTAAGTATCAACTTAAGGGGTTGACACTGGGTTGCTCATTGGTCTGAGGGGGGAAAACCAATGGCAGGAAGTGGTTCAGTATAGCAGTATGGAAGACTTTGAAAACAGGTGACCAGATTCTAAGCAAGGCCAAGAATATAATGGAAGGAAAATCACATTTAAAGGGATTATCTCCAAAATGAAGTCTCTACTTAACCATGAACAAATGATCTTGCGCTCAAGCTTGAGCTCTTGAGAAGCAGAGCAGTGCTAACTGATGGTGAAGACCAATGTGGATGAGAAATAAATGAAAGCCAGTAGGATGCAAAACTTCCAAGGAATGGTGAAATGCGAGGGTCAGCTATAAAGATGGATAATTACTATGGAAAATAGCCAGAAATTGTAGAATGCAAACATTAGATGATACACAGTTGTATACCTTGTTTGACTTAAGAAACAGGTTCTGATCATATGAAAATTTACTGTGGAACAGTCACATTATTTTTAATTGCACTACGAACAAGTGGGTTTTTAGGAACCAACTTGAAGGCAAGGCAATGGGTGTGATTGAAAAACAACAACATATAATGAATAAAAAGGGGAATATGAGTGATTCAGAATGTTGCTTTCCATGTTGGTGGCTCCAGGTGGATTCTCAGCCAATGTACTTCTTGAGCAGCTACCACCCAAGTGGTGAAAGAAAGGGCTGGCAATCTACTTCTGAAACCTTATGGATTACAACTCATCAATCTGCAGTAATGAGATGGCACAGGACAGCCGCATTTTAGTCTGTTAAATGCAGTGTGTTAACTATGGATCTGGCTGTCTTTATGGCAGCTAAAAAAACATCACAGTGAACAATCATTCTGTGATTTAATTGGTAAGTATAGCATTTACATATTGAGTTTGCTTAAAGGCATAAAATTTACATGTTGGTTTAGGTTTAAATATATAAATCTGGCCACTAAAAAATTAACTGTCATGTCATCACTGTATTTAATATACTAGAGGTACTAGGTAATGAAATTAAAGAAGATGAAGAAATTAGCACTCATTCTCTGTTGTGATTGTTTGATTTAGTGACTTTCCTATATATATATATATATATATATTTTTTTTTTTTCTGTTTCTAACTGCACCCACAAGCTCCCAAGCTTCTCCAGCCCAATGAATGTATTTTCAGATTTTCTCATCAAAATATGAATTTCTCATTTTCTCATGGCAGACTTCACCCCCCACCCTCTGCCCCTTGCTCCCTTTATTGGATGATATTTGGGTCTCAAGGCTTACCTTAGGGGTGGGGCTCATAAAGGCTTTTTAAATATTTGGCTATTAAAGATATTTTTACTCACACTGTATCTCTAGTCCTAAGCACAACATGAATTCGTTTGTTGGATTAAAAATAATAATAGCTGCCAGTGCCAAATCACTAGGCTGAATACTTTATTTTCATCTCATTTAATCTTCTGCTTAAAAAAACAAAAACACATAGCCATTGATTCAACTCTGACTCATAGCAGCCCTCTAGGACAGTATAGAACTGCTCCCTAGGGTTTCTAAGACTACAAATTAGCCTCATCTTTCTCCTCAGGAGCTGCTGCTAGATTTGAACCATCAACTTTGTGGTTAGCAGCCCAAAATATAAGCACATAATTCCATATCATGTAATTAATCACACAATTAATTTCTCAGCTTTTACCGATGGTGAAATGTGAGGAGATGCAGAGACTAATGAAATTGAGAATTATAAATAGATCCCGCATTTATAATTTATGGTTTACAATGAACAAGATGGGCTCAGACATAGGAACAGTGTGAGCATGATGCAGGACTGGGCAGTGTTGCATTCTGTTATGCATAGTCTCGCTGTGTGTAGGAACTGACTTGGTGGCACGAGCAAAATGCACACTGCTGTCAAGTCTATTTCAGCTTCTAGTGATTAGATGTAGATCTCCTATCTATGGTCTTGGAAAACCTGTGGGGGTAGTTCTGTAGGGCCACTGAGTCGGAATCAACTTGATAGTGATGCTTTCTAAATTTATTTTTAAGAGTAGATTAAATGGTGTAAGTATAAAAGATATTAGTGTGCTATTTGTGAATAGTTATTGCAACTGTTGGTATTTGTTCTGATAAACCATGTGTTATTTGTACCATTTTTGTTGATGTGGTGTAGTTAATCAACTTTTAAGAAAGCTAATGTAATTACCTAGTTAGGTACTAGTCTACATTAGAATCTTAGATTGAACACAAAGGTCACTCTTTGATAACTCTTAACTTTTCAAGATGAAAATATTACAATTGATAAACATAGTTCTATAGCAAGAACAATTCTTAATTTAATTCAAAGGTTTTCTGGATAACTAGAATATGAATATAAAGGTACTAAAACTGATAAGGGTAACTGTTGGAACCTCCATCTCTCTATGATGTAACTGAAGACCAAATCAAAAATATTTTCTTTTTTGGGAAATAAAAGCATAGCTTTCCATCAGTAAGAAAGATTCAGTTCCTATAAAGAGTGGAAAAAGCCTTTTAAAAACATTCCCTCGAAACTTGTGCAAGAGATAGATGAATAAAGGGTTTGAGGAAAAGTGTTAGTTTATAGTTATCTCCTCACTGTTTTCTTAGTATAGAAAGTTTATCCGCAGCTGGAAAATATTGTATACATGTAGTTCGAACAAAATGGCAAGATTGGTGCTTTCAATTTAAGATTGCATTTTAAAAACTGGCCAAATGAAGTTACTTTGTTTCAGAGCTTCAAACTTATTCATTGGGGTCAACCCCAGGCTGGGAATTTGTACTTCTACCCCAGATTTAGGGGAGTGATAAGAGTCATTGGAGAGTCTTACTAAAAGTGTAGATTCTGAGTCAGTATGTCTGGGGTAGAAATGCAGATTCTTAGTAAGGGGCAAAACCTTCTGGAAGTTCTGCTTTAGTTTTAGTTTTCTGTGATTAATTGTTCATTACATGTATTGCCTTTTTTTTGTGTTAGAATATTTGTGTGCTGATTTATGTTAAAATAGCCATGCACATTATACATTTATATTTTATAAAGTAATATTTGTATTTTATCTTACTATATGTATATATTTTAAGTGTTTTATTTTCACTTGATTTTCGTTTAAAAGTTTTTGAATTCTCAATACTTTGAAATATAATATTGACACCTTATCTTAGAAGAGTAACTAAAGTAAATGCCATAATTTAAATACTGATATTTAAATTATTGTTTTACTATTAATTAGAAAAATTGAAATAACTTTGCAGTAGAACCGAAAGAAATTCAACTAACATTTAATTGAACACTAGTGAGCTAAGAAATTTAGAACCCGTATCTTCTCAGTTGATTTCAATGGAATGTGGATTGGCACAATGACTGAGACAATGGGCTCAAACACACAGGATTGTGAGGATGGTGCTAGACTAGGCATTGTTTCAGGTAGCTATGAGTCGGGACCAACACGAGAGAAAATAACAGCAGGGGCAATGCCATACTACTTGTGCCTTGTACAATGCAGTCATTTCTAATTTCATGTGTCATCATATTTCTAAATATTACAATTGGGTATTTAATTACAATATAATTAAATCACCTGGCTTATATATACTAGGGAACAAATGTGTCTAGGTATAATGTTAAACAAAAGCTGACTGCCACCAAGTAGCTTCTGACTCGTGACCCTGTATAGTTTCTGAAGCTTTAAATCTCTACAAGAGCAGATAACCTCAGCTTTGTTGAGCAAAGTGGCTGAGGGGTTTGAACCACCAACTTTGGGTTAGTTGTTCAACGCTTATCCCACATCACCACCAGGTCTCTTTAGATAAATATTAAAAGTTTTTAATTCCGCTGAAGGGTTGGTATGAGGGGGTACCCCAAGAACACCTGGGGAAAAAACACCACTGGGTGGAGCTTTCATAGTATGCATTTTTCCCACTAGGCAAACAGCAAGCAACTCACTCAGAATTAGTGCACCCAGTGACTACGCCTTGGGAGGTTCACTGGTCACAGTGAATTTTTTTGTGAAAGCAGTTTCACATGAACCTTGTTTTCTGTGGTGGTCGATTTAAGAGAACAACATGTGGCTGTGAAATTTTGTGTCCTGCTCCAGGGAAAAATGCTGCAGAAACTGTTGTGGTGTTAAACACAGTTTACAGAGACAGCCGCTATGGGAAAAACTCAAGCGTATGAGTGGTTTTCTCGTTTCAAAATAGATGAAATGTTGATTGATGACAAACCTTGTTCTGGATATCTTTCAACTTCCTGAATGGACGAAAATGCCTATGCCTACTCCAAATGAGTGCATTTGGAGTTCTTTCCAACAGGTCAGACTGTTAATGAAACTTTCTATTTAGAGGTTCTGAAAAGATTGTATAACTGTGACAAAAAAGGACTTATTTTTAACAGACAGGGGACACTGGTTTTGTCACCACAACAAAGCACCTGCTTATCTTATTGCACTGGTTTTTGGCCAAAAGCATACCTTTCTTGCTCCACATACCTTCCTCACCTGACCTCGTTCAAGGAGACTTCTTTTTGTTTCCGCAAATGAAGAGGGACTTGAAAGGACAACAACTTGAGAACTGAGAAGAGGTGACGAAAAAACGAGGGAGGTGCTGTCAGCCATCGAAACAGATGAGTTTGTAAAATGTTTCCAAGAATGGAATTGCAGATTTGACAGCTGTATTAAATGTCATTTGAATGTAATAAGGTTGTTTTGTGAAAAAATTTAAATACATCGCTTAGTGGGGAGGGGAAATTCTGTTTTTTGGGTACCCTCGTACTATTGCCTAACATTTTGTTTTCTTTTCATTTTTGTTCTGTTACAGTGGTATCCTTTTATGTTTGGGATGGCTTTGGAGTAGTTAAGGAAGATGAAATTAAATGTTTGTGATCTGACTACCAGTACAGTGGTTCTCAACCTTCCTGATGCCGTGACCCTTTAATACCGTTTCTCATGTCGTGGTGACCCCCCGACCATAAAATGATTTCCGTTGCTACTTCATGACTGTAATTTTGCTACTGTTAGGAATCAGGTGACCCTTGTGAAAGGGTCGTTTGACACCCCCCTAAAGGGGTCATGACCCCCAGGTTGAGAACCACTAGACTAGTCATTGTAAGGCTTGAAATGGTGATGAACCATATTATACTAAGTGTCTTCTGTTTCTTTGTGCTCAATTTATTATCTACATGCCTCACCTTGATAATATTACCTTTGGCAGGAAATATGAGATAGGAGGCTTGGTATGTAACACTCATGCTTTGTGTTATTAAGCTCTGTGATTAAATCCTTGCCTACCAAGATCAGGAATACCCTGAAAAAACTCTGCTAATATTTCAAATAGCACTTTAAAATTTCTATTTCCAATGCAAATATCTCTTATTCGTTTTTGTAGATTACCTGGCATGAACATAAGCATAGAGAAGAGAAAAGAGCTACTTACATATTGCAGCCTTGTCCCCAATTCCTTTTTTTGACATTTGGGGACCTATTTTTTTTTTTTTAATGAATTGTATAATGATTGACATTCACCAGAGGTTTTCATTAAGCAAGTGAGTTGTATTTTTAAAATGAAATGTGTTTAAGTAGATTTGATTAAGTGAATTGACACACAGCATTATGTTAAATTTGTAAGATCCAAGCTGGAAATTCCATGTGTAACAATATTTTTAGATGCATTTGTAGATATAATTTATATATGTACAGCTTGTAAATGTTAAGTGTTTTTTTCAGCAAGTGGAGAGGGTATAATTCGACGGAGTACTTATTTTAATAACCTCTAGCATCTGATTATTATTAACTAAAATATTAACTTATTTTAATATTCCTCCAGCACCTGATTTTATAGGTAGGATGGGATGTGAAAAGAAACAATAAGATAAAATAATGTATACCATCTTAAAACCATTCACTAACTTTAGAATTCTGGTGTGTTCATTGAACTTTGATTTTTTTTTTTTTATAATAATAAAGCAGCGAAGTACCATATTTTATTTTTACATAAATGTTATTCTGTAAAAAGTTACATTATGAGCATATTACATTTTCATGTGTTTTTCAATAGAAAGG